ACATCAACTTTGAGGCAGCCTGAAGTAAGAATATACATGGACTCCTAGACGACGGCAAATGGCTTTAGAGTTGGCAAGGGGCCTTGGAAGGATCAATAATAGAAAATTGGAGACAAGGAATTCTTGATAAAAGCCATGTAGATGGACCTATGAGAATGAGTGAAAAATATGTAGATCTTTGTGTTCTCACGTCATTACCCACCAGAGAACATCCATTGTGGAGGAGACACTCAATAATTCATTTAACAAGATAAATCAAGTGCATAACACCAAGTGTTTAGTGTCTTCTGCTCAGCCACCACAATGTCTGTGGAATGGGTCCCTGAATGGAATAGCTATGATGAAGAGATGGAGTCTGTCTCTGGACTCCATCTCACCAAGGTTGGTTTGGCTACTGCCACAGCTTAATGTCCAACTTATCAGCAGCAGATACCAATGCTGGGCCCTTGATATGGTGCCATCCCTCAAGGAGATCATCTAGCCCTTTGGTGGTAAGCTGATTACATCCATCCTTTCTGGAATTGATAACTACTCTATGTGTGTTTGCCTTCCCTGCTTGCAATACTTCCACCAGCCCCACTGTCTCAGGATTTAAAGAATGTCTGATTTATCAACATTGGATTCCACATAACATCATTTTGGGCCAAGGGTCCCATTCTATGGCAAAGGAGGTCCACCTTTGATCACTGTGCAAGTGATCACAGGATCCATTATTTATACCATATACATCACCAAGAAGCAACCAAACTAATAGGACATTAGAACAGCCTCTTTAAACATCCAGCTAAGGCACCAGCTTGAGGACACCCTTCGATGGAGCACTGTCCTCTAGGACGTAGTACATAAATTGGCTGATATATTTTCCTCTAGCTCAGTAGCTAGAATATACAGGTCCAGGAGCTAAAGGGTAGAAGTAGAATTAACCCCTCCCTCTCACCATCACCAGTAAGCCATTGCAGAATTTATGCTTCCCATTCCCACAATTTTAGGCTTTGTTAGATTAAAATTTCTGCATTCTTGGGTGGTGGGTGAGAGCAGTGCTATCCCCAGAGCTTTAGTACTCATTCCACTGGATCTAAAACTGTGAGTGTTGTCTGTTACTTTGGACTCATACCAGTGGACTAACCAAAAAAAAAAAAAAAAAAAGGTTACTGTACTGGTAAGGGTAATCAACCCTGTTTTATCATAAGCAGCAAGGGTTATTTTTATATGATGGAGGCAAGGACCATGTCTAGAATTTAGGGGATTCCCCACAGCGTCTGTTTGTGCTTCCAGGCCAGTGAAGACAGTGAATGGGTAATTGCAGCATCTTTAGCCTAGAATAGGCATGTTAACCAAGGGCTCAGACCCTTCAGGAATGAAAATCTTGAGTTATTCTAGCAGATTGCTAGAAGAGTGAGGAAAACCTAGATTGGATGGTAGAGGAAGGAGAGGAAGAATATCAATTCATCTATTAAGTTATAACATTAATTTATAAATTAAATTATATTATCAATTAAATTATAACATGTTCTACTAACTCCTATTTAAGTATTCTTTTTAAAGAATGCAGTGAACCACCATCTTGAAGAGTCAGTATCAAAGTGGACTTAATGTGTAATACAGTACAGTGTAATACAGTGTGATTCTGGTGCCCTGAACCACATCCCCTCAGCCCACTTGATTTCAGTGCAGCTGAATCAGTGTGTGTGGCCAGTGTCTTCCTAATTGGTTCATGTTGCCAGTATCCACCTAAAGTGCCTGCTGTGGTGGCTCTGCTTTTCTTCCATAGAGCATTGCATACAGTTGTTCAATCCATCCTTGGGTGAAGCTCAGAAGTATAGAGGAGTTAAGCCCACTCTTCTCCGTCAAGGCAACCCTTTACAGGTAAAATTTACAAGACTTCAAGAAGAGAGAAATCTACTTTCCCTGTGGGAGATGGTCACATACTTCTCTTAGCACTTGATAGATCAAACAATTAAAAAGCAGAAAGTATATAGAATATTTGAATAATCAGTTAATAAACTTGATCTAATGCATATATGTACAATACAACATCTACCCATGGAAGAAATCATGTTCTTTTCCAGCACACCCAGAACATTTACAGAAAGTGACCACACAGTGGGCCATAAAGCAAATCTAGCACATTTCCAAAGACTGGTATCATACAGTCCATGTTCTTTGACCATAACACTTTTAAGTTAGAAATAAATAATAAAAAGATACCATGAAAATTTCCTATATGTTTTGAAAGTAAAATACATTTCTGATTAACTCGTATGTCAGAGAAGAAATAATGGAAATTTAAAAAACATTTTGAACTGAATTATAGCAATAGTACTGTTTCAAAACCTGTAGGGGTACAGCTAAGTAGTACTTAGAAGTCTATAGCCACCAATGGATATATTTAAAAATAATAAAGGCTGAAAAGTAATGCGTTAAGCGTCCATCTTTAAAAGTTAGAATATGAACAGCAAAATAAATCTAAAAAAGCAGAAAGATGGAAATTATAAAGAGCAGAAATTAGTGAAATAGAAAAGAAGTATAAAATAGAATCAACAGAGCCAAAAGTTGTTTCTTTCAAAAGACTAATATAATTGAGAAACCTGTGGCGAGACTGATCAAGTAAAAAAGAAGCCAATAGGGGCCAGCCTGGTGGCATAGTGATAAGTTTGGCATGGACCTACACACTGTTGATCAAGCCATGCTGTGGCAGGCATCCCACATATAAAATAGAGGAAGATGGGTACAGATGTTAGCTGAGGGCCAATCTTCCTCAACAAAAGAGGAAGATTGGCAATGGGTGTTAGCTCAGGGCGAATCTTCCTCAGAAAAAAACAAACAAACAAACAAAAAACAAAAAAAAAACCCTAACAGCTGAAAACTTTCCAAATCTTGGGAAAGATATGAACATCCAGGTACCTGAAGCTCAAAGGACCACAAGCAAGATCAACCCAAGAAGATTACCCTGAGACTGTTATAATCAAATTGTTAAAGACAGGAGAATTTTGAAAATAGCATGAGAAAACCAACTTGTCACATACCAGGGAACCCCCATAAGTTCCCATAAGGCTAACAGCAGATTTCTCAACAGAAACCCAGCAGGCCAGAAGGGAGTGGGATGATATATTCAAGCTGAAAGAAAAAAGCTGCCAACCAATACTATATCTGGCAAAACTGTCCTTCAGAAATGAAGGAGATATAAAGATTTTCCCAAGCAAAAGCTGAGAGAGTTCATCATTACTAGACCTGCCTTTACAAGAAACGCTAAAGGGAGTTCTTCAAGTGGAAACAAAAAGACACTAATTAGTAACGTGAAAACATATGAAAGTATAAAACTCACTGGAAAGGTAAATATACAGTCAAATTCAGAATACTCTAATACTGTAATGGTGGTGCATAAGTCACTTTTAACACTAGTATAAGTGCTAAACGACAATAGTATTAAAAATAACTATGGCTACAATAATTTGTTAATGGATACACTATAAAAAAGATGTAAATTGTGACATCAATGGCATAAAATGTGGGGAGAGGAGAAGTAAAAGTGTAGGGTTTTCATATGTGATTGAAGGTAAGTTGTACTGCCTTAAAATAGACGTTTATAACTATAAGATGTTTTATGAAACCCTCATGGTAACCACAAAGAAAAAACTTCTAGTAGATACACAAAAGATAAAGAGAATGGAGTTAAAGCATACCACTAAAAAAATAAATAATAAAGCAAGACAACAAGAGAGGAACAAAAGAACTACAAAACAGTCAGAAAAGAACAAAATGGCAATACTTTTGTTGCCTTTCCTTTTGGTGTCAAATCCAAAAAATCATTGCCAGGACCAGTATCAAGGAGCTTTTCCTCTATGTTTTCTTCTAGGAGTTTTATGGTTTCAGGTCTTATGTTTAAGTCTTTAATCCGTTTTGAGTTGATATTTGTATATGGTGTAAGATAGGGGTGCAATTTCATTCTTTTGCACATGGATATCCAGTTTTCCCAACCCTATTTATTGAAGAGACTATCTTTTCCCCATTGTGTATTCTTAGTGCCTTTGTTGAAAATTAATTGGCCATTTATTCATTGGTGTATTTCTGGGCTCACTAATCTGTTCCACTGATCTATGTGTCTGTTTTTATGCCAATCCCATACTGTTTTGATTACTATAGCTTTGTAATGTAGTTTGAAATCAAGAAGTGAGATGCCTCCAGCTTTGCTCTTCCTGCTCAAGATTGCTTTGACTGTTTGGGGTCTTTTGTGGTTTCGTAAGAATTTTGGGATTGTTTTTTTCTATTTCTGTGAAAAATATCACTGGAATTTTGATAGAGATTGCACTGAATCTGTAGATTGCTTTGGGTAGCATGGACATTTTCACAATATTAATTCTTCCAATCCATAAACCTGGAATATCTTTGCATTTATTTGTGTCTTCTTCAATTTCTTTCATCAATGTTTTGTAGTTTTCAGTGTACAGACCTTTCAGCTCCTTGGTTAAATTTATTCTTAAATATTTTATTCTTTTAGATGCTATTATAAATGGGTCTTCTTAATTTCTTTTTCAGATAGTTTGTTTTTATTGCCTGTCCCTTCAGCTCCCCAGTGTAGGCTAATTAGATGGCTACATTGGAAGCTTATATTTTTCAGGCAGCAGCTGGGAATGTCAGGATGTTAGATATGCACTCTAGTCCCCATTGGGGAGAAACCAGGAGCTGATTTTTTTTGCCTACTCAATCTGTGCTGAGCCAGAGGGAATAGCCACTAGGAATGCTTGTGCACCTATATAAAACTGCCGCTTTGTTCTCTGTGGTCCCAGAGAACTTTTAAATGCTGAGCCGCCTCAGCTCCCAGAGCTGGGTAGGCTGGTAGATGTTTGTCCAAATTCCTTTCAAGGAGAAGATATAGACTTGGTTTTATTGCTGGGTTGAACTGAGAGGAGAGGTGCAGGAAGTTCCCACACACCTGTTCAGGCTCCCAGATGACTCAGTATGTGCCCTGTCAGCTCCCAGGTGCAAGCTAATTTGAAGCCCAATCCTTGGGAAGGAGCTGGGAAAATATGCAGTCAAACTCCTTCCAGGAAGAAACTGGGAACCTGTGATTTTCCCTATTCCCTCTGTGCTGAGTCTAGGGATATAGCTGTGGGAAGTGCTTGCACTTCTGTATAAAACTGCCTATTAGTTTATTGTAGTCAGTTCCATGGAACTTGTGAATGCTGCACCCTGTTGGCTCTCAGACTAGGTGATTTGGGAGCTGTCCCTCAGGTGGCAGCTGTAAAAGTTAGGGTGCTATATGAGTGGACAAGCTCCTTCCAGGGAGAAGCTGGAGACTTGGTTTAACTCTTGGAGTGAGCTGGGAGGGAAGAGAGGGGATATGCCCAAAAGCTCTTTCAGGCTCCCAGGAGGATCCCACTCAGCTCCCAGATGCAGTCTGATTAGAAACCAGACTCTTAGACAGCAGCTAGGAAAGCATGCAGTTTAACCCCTCCAGAGAGAAACTAGGTGCTGGGTTTTTTGCCTGCTCCCTCTGAGCTGAGCCTGGGGGGATAGCTGTGGCAAAGAGGATTATTCTTGGCCCTTAAGATCTAAATGAATTTGCCTTGCTAGGTTTTGGACTTTCTTGGGATCTGTGACCTCTTTCTTCTTTCCCGTTTCTCCCTTTTGGAATGTGAATTTCTATCCTCTGCCTGTCCCACCACTGTATTTTGGAAGCACATAACTTGTCTGGTTTCACAGGTTCATAGCTGGAGAGGAATTATGCCTCAGGATGTATCATACCTCAAGACTCATACTTACCTGATTTAGATATTATCTAGATGAGACTGTGGAGGTGGAGTTGATGCTGTAACAGGTTAAGAATTTTGAGGCTGTTGAAATGGGGTGACTGTATTTTGCATGCAAGAAGAACATGAATTTTGGGGGGACAAAGGGTAGAATGTTATGGACTGAATAGTGTCCTCCCAAAATTCATAGGCTGATGCCCTAACTCCCAATATAACTGTATTTGGTTAAATTAGGTCACAAGGGTGAGGCCCTAATCCAATAGAACTGTTGTCCTTATAAAAAGAGGAAGAGATACCAGGAGTACACACTAATAGAGAAAAGGCCATGTGAGGACCCAGCACAAAGGCAGCCATCTGTACGCCAAGGATAGAGGTCTCGCCAGAAACCAACCCTGTCAGCACCTTGATCTTGGACTTCAAGCCTCCAGAATTGTGAGAAAATAAATTTCTGTTGTTTAAGCCACCCAATCTGTGGTATTTTGTTATGGCAGCCCTAGCTGACTAATACAGTTGGAAATGGGGAGTAACTACTATTAGGTACAGAGTTTCTTTTTGAAGTGATGAAAATATTCTAAAATTGAATGTGGTAATGATTGTATAATTCTGTGGATGCTATAAACCATTGAATTGTACACTTTAAATTGGTAAATTGTAAGGGATATAAATTATGTCTCAATAAAGCTATTTTTAAAAAATCAGTGTAATTCATCATATTAATAAAGTAAAAAATAAAAAACATGATCATCACTAGATGCAGAAAGAGCATTTGACAAAATCCAACAGGCATTCCTGATTAGGAAAATAACTCTAGGAGAAAATATTTGCAAATCATATATCTGATAAGGGATTAATATCCAGAATATATAAAGAACTCTTAAAACTCAACAACAAAACAACCTAATTAAAAAACTGGCAAAGCACTTGAATAGATATTTCTCCAAAGAAATATACAGATGGCCAATAAGCACATAAAAAGATGCTAACTAATCATTAGAGAAATGCAAATCAAAAACATAAGGAGAAACCAATTCACATCCATTAGGATAGTTATTACTTAAAACAAACAAACGAAAAACAGAAAATAACAAGTGTTGGTGAGGATGTGAAGAAATTGGAAACTTTGTGCATTACTGATGGGACTGTAAAAGGGTATAGCTGCTATGGAAAACAGTATGGCTGTTCCTCAAAAAATTAAAACTAGAATTACCATATTATCCAGCAATCTCACTTCTGAGTATTTATCCAAAAGAATTGAAAGCAAAGACTTGCACAGATATTTGTACACCAATGTTCCTAGCAGCACTATAGTCAAAACATGGAAGCAAGTCGAGTGTCCATTATGAATGGATAAACAAAATATGGTATATACATACAATGGAATGTCATTCAGCATTAATAAGGAAGGAAATTCTGATTTGTGCTACTACTTGGTGAACTGAGAAATAATTATGCTAAGTGAAATAAGCCAGATGCAAAAGGACAAATATTGCACGATTCCACTTATTAAGTTACCTAGAATAGGCAAATTCACAGAAAGTAGAATGATGGTTACCATGGGCTAGGAGAAGAGGGGAATGGAGATCTATTGTTTAATAGGTATAGAGATTCAGTTTGAGATGATAAAAATTTTCTGGAGGAGTGATGTCAGCATCATGGCAGAGTGAGCTCTCCCCTTAGACTCTCCCCACCAAGATACAACAAAAAGGACATTCATATACCAACAGAGGACATTCACACAACACAAAAGACGTCCGAGAGACCCACACAGCCATATGTCTTAAAGTGGAGGTGCTGGAACCCCCGGATGAAGTGGAAGGAAGTAAGGAGAACTCCTCTCCATCCCAAACAGCAGTGACCCTGAGACCGGGACCGGGCGCAATTCTCAGAGTGGGAGGATGGGTGGCCCTCTGTGGGAAAACTGTCGCTCTCCAAGTTCCCTCACAGCCTGTGGGAAACTCACATGAAGGTGACTGAACTGTTGCGAGGGTGTCTTCATTAAGTTAGCACCCCAGGAGAGCAGATAGCAAGGGAAGAGCAGAGAGCCCCCAGGATTGGGCAGGTGAAAGAAAGCACCCCTCCCACTGCCAGGCACTTCACCTCAGCCAGTGGGCCAGAGCGCCTGCGGATTGTGGCTGGCTCAGAATACACAGATCTTGACCCCCACCTAGTGGCAGAAGGTGGAAGTTGCGACCAGATATTATCATGAGGAAAAATAAATCCATGCTGTCAAAGAGTACATAAAATATATTAAATCTCCAGATCATAAGAAAAATGACAAGCACCTAGAAATCAATCCTGAAGGCACAGAAATTTATAATCTAAACGATAGAGAATTCAAAATAGCTATCACAAAAAAGCTCAAAGAGTTACAATAAAATACAGATAGCCAGTTCAATGAAATCAGGAACTTCTTCACAAAAGAGATTGAAACTATAAAGAAAAACTAATCAGAAATGTTGGAGATGAAAAACACAATGGAGGAGATAAAAATCTGGAATCTTTAAAGAACAGAGCTGACAATATGAAGGAAAGAATTAGCAATATAGAGGATAGGAATGCAGAAATGCTCCAGATGGAGAAGGAGAGAGAACTAAGACTAAAAAGAAATGAAGAAATTCTCAAAGAAATATCTGATTCAGTTAGGAAATGCAACATAAGGATTATAGGTATTCCAGAGGGAGCAGAGAGGGAAAGAGGAGCAGAGAGCTTGTTCAAAGAAATAATAGCTGAGAACTTCCCAAACCTGGAGAAGGAGCTGGAAATACAAGTGAATGAAGTCAATAGATCTACTAATTATATCAACATAAAAAGACCCTCTCCAAGGCATATAATAGTAAAGCTGGCAAAACTCAATGACAAAGAAAAACAAACAACCCGATCGAAAAATGGACAGATGATATGAACAGACATTTTTCCAAGGCAGATATACAGATGGCCAATAGGCACATGAAAAGATGTTCAACATCACTAATCATCAGGGAAATGCAAATCAAAACCACACTAAGATATCACCTTATACCCGTTAGAATGCCTATAATCACCAAGACCAAAAATAACAAATTTTGGAGAGGTTGTGGAGAAACAAGAACCCTCATTCACTGCTGGTGGGAATGCAAACTGGTGCAGCCTCTATGGAAAACACTATGGAAATTCCTCAAAAAATTAAAAATAGAAATACCTTATGATCCAGTTATCCCACTACTGGGTATTTATCCAAAGAACCTGAAATCAACAATCCAAAGAGGCTTATGCACCCCTATGTTCATTGCAGCATTATTCACTATAGCCGAGAAGTGGAAGCAACCCAAGTGTGCCTCGACTGATGATTGGATCAAGAAGATGTGGTATATATATACAATGGAATACTGCTCAGCCATAAAAAATGACAACATCATCCCCTTTGCAACAACATGGATGGACCTGGAGAGTATTATGTTAAGCGAAATAAGCCAGACAGAGAAAGACAAACACCATATGATTTAGCTTATATGTGGAATATAAACTAACACACGGACTGAGAGAACAGTTTGCTGGTTACCAGGGGGAAAGGGGTTGGGGGTGGGCACAAAGGGTGAAGGGACACATTTATATGGTGACTGACAAACAATAATGTACAACTAAAATCTCACAATGTTATAAACTATTATGACATCAATTAAAAAAAGTTGAAAAAAAAGTCATTGACAAAGAAAAAATATTAAGGGCAGCAAGACAAAAAATATAATAATGTACAAAGGAACTCCTATTAGGCTCTTCAGTGGATTTCTCAGCAGAAATCTTACAGGCTAGCAGAGAGTGGAATGATATATTCAAAATTCTGAAAGACAAAAACTTTCAGCCAAGAATAATCTATTCAGCAAAAATATCCTTCAGATACGGTGGAGAAATAAAAACTTTCCCAGATAAACAAAAGCTAAGGGAGTTCATTGCCACAAGACCCCCACTACAAGAAATGCTTGAGAAGGCCCTCATGCCTGAAAAGTTCTGGAGATGGATAGTGGTGATGGTTGCACAACAATATAAATGTACTTAATGCTATTGTACACTTAAAGTACACTTAAAAATGGCTAAAATGATAAAATTTTTGTTATGTATATCTTACAACAATAAAAAAAACCTCTTAGCAATCTAGGAATAGAGATTAATTTCCTTAATCTGATAAAGTGCATCTGTGAAAAGCCTATAACTGACACCATACTTACTGGTGAAAGACTAAATAATATCCTCCTAAGATTAGAAACAAGGTAAGGATATCCACTCTCACCACTTATTTTCAACTTTTAATGGAGATTTCGGCCAGTGCAATAAGGGAGAAAAATAAACTAAAAGGCTGCCAGACTAGAAAGAATGATGATCCCAATCAAAATCACAGCAAGATCTTTTTGTAGAAATTCACAAACTTTATGTTGAAAACAAAGAAAACTAAACAATATGTTGTTTAGATAAACATAAGCAATGACTATAAGGAAGAGCAAGAGAATGCTTAATGCAGAAATCAGGATAGCAGTTATCTCTGGGAGTAGAGGGGAAATTCAACTACGGAGGAGCATACAGAGGGTTTCTGGGATGTGGGATGATCTGGATGGTGGGCATACCAATCGTTCATTTCAATATTCTTTAAACTGCATGTAAAAGTTTCCATACAGTTGTGCGTTACACTGTGTATCCCAAACTATAAAAAATTCATGTCTCTCAAGAGTCTTCAGATTAAAGGAATATAAGGCGTGTAAACAGAATTTAAGGAGGCTTAAGATAAGGACACATTAACATGATACAAACAGGGAATTCAGAGAAGGAAGAGAGACCAAGATTTCCTGGAGGAAATAGCATCACAAATTGAAATGAGAAATCCTAAAGGCATATCCTCTGTTCAAATAATATGGCATCCAATTTGAAAAGACAATGAGAAGAAGCCTCCTAGGTAGTATTGCAGAACTGGGTGAAGTGGAGAAATGCTCAGGTTTGCACCAAACTTGTAGATTTAAATTCTAGGTTCTTTCCAAAAAGAGAATTGTTTGACTATAAAATAAGGGGACCATTGTGAATTTGATTGTATGTAGGACTCTATTTTAAGATCCTGCATAGTAAAAAATTTCATGTTTATTTGATTTTTGTATTAGTTTTCTATTGTCACAAATTATCACAAATTTAGAGGCTTAAAACAACACCCATTTGGGCCGGCCCAGTGGTGTAGTGGTTGAGTTCCCGCACTCGGCTTGGGTGGCCTGGGATTTGTGGGTTCGGATCCCGGGTGTGGACCTGCACACCACTCGTCAAGCCATGCTGTGGCCGCGTCCCATATGCAAAATGGAGGAAGATTGGCACAGATGTTGGCTCAGGGACAGTCTTCCTCAGAGAAAGAGAGGAGGATGGGCAATAGATGTTAGCTCAGGGCCAATCCTCCTCACCAAAAAACCCAAAACGAAAACAAAACAAAAAACAACACCCATTTATTATCTCACATCTCCATATGTCAGAAATCTGACATGGAGTGGCCAGTGCTGGAGGAGGTCATCAAGAAGATGTGACCACCAGTTGACCTGTGAGCTGGACCCGGGCAATTGGAGGTGCCCCACTCCCTCCCCTGTCTTTGGAATGTGTGTTCTACTTGCCTTCCCCACTCCTAGAAGCTGCTCCCAGGATTCGGCCTTGAGATCATAATGTGGTTTTGAGACTATCTGAACTGGGTATGTGACTGAACACTTAAGGTCTCTATGTAAATTTTTAAGATTTTGGTGGGCAGGTGTGAAAATCTATTTGTCTTGCAGCCGCCCAAGACAAACCTCATCAGTAAGTTCCCTTGCTTATTAAACCTGCCATCTACCAGTCTGCCTCTTTCTTCGGTCTCTCCCTGCCCTCTGCATTTGGGGGCCAGTTTCAGATTACAGCAGTGAAGCTCCTGAGGAGGTCACAAAGCAAAAATTGGCAAGCCAGGCAGGAGACCGAAGAAATGGGAAAAGTGGCATCTGTGGGGGAAATCTTGTGTTGGCCATCGACCTCTATGTGGGGAGGGGTGGTTCGGATGTCAGGTGCTTGTGAAATACCATGTGAGCATGGGGACACCCTGAAAACACTGGCTGCTTTAATGAGCTTGTTTGAGAAACTGCACAGCATGCTGTGGTAAAGAGAAATGAATGGCTGCTGCAGTGGGCTGGCCTCTGCTATGAGCAGTTCACCT